ATGCTTTTGATAAGCAAACAGTTTAACAAAAACAGTCTTTACAAAATTGTGTCAACAATGTACTATTAAACTGTCACATTCACAACTGATCCAAATTAAATTATGCACAAACTGTTCAGAGGATAGTGTGTCAGATGACTTATTTTGACCAGGTTTCATTGAAAGAGAATTGGTTGTGGTTTATGGTCTACAGAAAGAAATGGGACCTCCTGGAGATGGGGAGGGAGGTTTCAATAGACATTTAGTTTAAATCTTGTTTAAGTTGTTTTAAACTCCTACCTAGTTTAATGTTGCTGGATTCCTGGACACTGGTGTCAATGGATTCCGAGATGATGTCATTCAGTTTCTTATGCTTCTGAAACTGTTTATTCACCAAATAGGGAATAAGCTCACCCTTTATTGAACTAATTGACCTACGACAGGAATATAACAGTTGTGATCATTAAGAGACAAGTTACCTATTGGGAGGCACAGTGGCCTCATGGTTAGTGCACTCGTACCCAAAGCAAGCGGTCTGGGTTCGAGCCCTGGCCGGGGACACGGTGTTGCGTGCTTCTCACAGTGCCTCTCTCCACCCAGGAGTATAAATGGTTACCGGCAAATTGTTGGAGAAACCTAACAAATTGTGGGGGAGTGACCTGCAATGGACTAGCATCCTGTCCAGGGGGAGTAGAAATACTTCTAGCCGCTTCATGCTACAGAAAGCAGGACAAGCTCCGACAGCTATGAGCCATTGGCTCTAAGGCTTCACTTTACTTTTTTCACCTATTACTACTCATCTAACTTATGAAAATCTATACTTTTTTCAAAATTTGCATGCCTTATACGGCTCGAAATGAATGTTTTTATTGATGAGCCAATTGGCAACTAATCCCAAAATGTCGGCCCCAGAGCATAATTTTTGGTCGTAATTTTTTCCACTGATTTTTCTCTTCCTCAGTATTTTCCTGATGTACATATAGTTCTAAGATTAATAGATTACGAGTAGTCCCTCTTTCGCTTAGTCTGTCGAAAAGAAAACCGCGAGAAAAAAATGCCTGCACGAAAACCTGGAGGCGAGGAGCACATGAAAGGAGGGACTACCGCCTAAGCCCAAGAGTTTGAATTATACATTGCTCTCACAATGCAAAATATGATTGGCTTATGTTAGGAGCATTGACAACGCATTGTCAACATTTGACAACGCGTTGTCAACATTCGAGATACATGTGACGTCTTGCAGGAATGTTTTGGAACCGGAGCAAATTGAAGTGGTACCAGAGCAAATCGAAGCGTTGGAATCGCGCTTCGCAAGTCGTGATATTCTTGCGAATCTGCCAACAGGCTTTGGAAAGATTTAAATTTATCCAGTGTTTTGTTTGGCAAAGCTTTCCACCTCCAACCCGACTGCAAGCCTCTTAGTGATTTCGCCACTCAACAGCATTGTCCAAGTCAGCGAATATATATTCACTGAGCCTGGCCTTTCTGCCGTCCATTTGAAAGATTGAACCAGACTTTCACTTGAAACCGGACATTCACCTGAAACTTTCCACTGCTATCGGCAAACATTTCACCGCAGTTGGATGATCTCCTATGTCAAACACATGATGCCAGTAAATTCTCGGTTGAAACTCTGCATTTGAAATTTTCACAATAACTTTTAGATTTACACCTATAGACACAGCGAAAATTGTTACAAGATACCCCATTCGCCTTCTTCTTTTTAAAACTTCTTGGACAGTGTCGCTGAACGAACACTGAACGAAGATATACTTCTCACGGCATATGTTTTTGCCTGGCTACTTGAAGAGTAGAGTAAAGCAATTTTATTCAGGATATCTCCCAGGGTTATTGACAACAGGCGATAATAAGAGGACATCAAGATGAGAAATCCTACACCAAAAAATCATTCGGCCGTGAAAGAGCAAACTCTTGGGCTTAGGTGGTAGTCCCTCCTTTCGCGCGCTCCTCGCCCCCAGGATTTTGCGTGGCCATTTTTTTCTCGTGGTTTTCTTTCACATCACGCACAACAGACTAAGCGAAAGAGGGACTACTTGTAGTCTATAAGGTTAAGTACAAAGTAGCTTACTATATGATAGTAAAATTTTAAAGGGAGAACATGTAAAAACAACATTACAAAATAATAATTAATATGGAAGTAGCTTCAGTTAAGTTTTCCGTGATTCCTCCTCTGCATCTAGTTTCAAATATAAGTGAATTTTATTCAATGTGACGTGAACATTGTCAACAGCTTTTCTCCCTTTTTGATTGGCTACTTAAAAAAGTCCACAAAATCTCATTGGTTAAAAAGTTGGCAGTTTGACAGCTGAAAGTTGAACTTGAAAGCT